CGCGCTTTTGATCCTGTTTGACATGGTACCCTTGGCAGCCATTGCAACCGAGGTAATGACGAGAAAGAGTTGCAGTAGCTTTGTTTTACAAGAATATGTGAACAAAAGTGTATCTTTAGACAAAGGTATATCTTTGGAAGAAATTTGTTTATTGTTCTTTTATTATTTGTGTAATATCAAGTTTTTTCTCTTATATAAAAAAATATGACCATTCAAATTATTGACGGTAGTGTATAAACCTTTTTTTGGAACCACAACCGTAATGATTTGTATTTTGTCTATGTGAATGAAAGTCTACGTAAATATATGTAAACTTCAAGTTCTTTAATTAGCAATCAGTATTATTATAAAGTAGATTACATTAAATTTTACAGATTTACTTTTACTTTATTTTATTGCGGTAATATCTATTTATTTTAAAGCATTTATATGCTGTTTTATAAAGTTTAATAAGTCTTCTGTTTTTTAAACAGTGCTTAAAGATGATACACATGATGTAAATACAAATGATTCACTTGGATTCAAATCCTTTTGCTTACACAGTTGTTTTTTTTTTTTTTTTAAATTTTTCCAATTTTCTAGAAAACAAAGACAAACATTTTTAAAGGCCTATAGATATTATATGCATTACATAAATATAAAGATATTATATACTATAACAAACCAAAGAAAATAATTTTTTAAAACGCTTTTTAATATTTCTAAAAACATGAAAAAACTGTTGGAAATTTGTTGCGTATATATCATGATAGAGATATTTAGGTTTTAGGTAATTAATTAAGTCTATGCATTTAACATTAAAGACATTACAACTTTCTTATAGAAAAAAGATTTTACATGCAAACTGAAATTTGATTTAGAATTTACTGGTCAAGAGTCCTAATGAGTACAGGATGGCATGAAAAAAAAATTATATTCTGAAACTTAATAAAAAGAGTATTTTCAGCCTACCAATCAAATCCTTAAGACTTTTACAAAAGAAATCTCACGAAGTATTTTTTGTTAAATATGTGACAACATTTAGCTTTGTATTTTTAATTTTTAAAATGAATTAACATAATACATTTATATGTGCTTTCATTGTTAATTTTTAGGTAGGCTTGATGCTTTTATAATCAATTTAAAAGTCTTTAAATCATTTTCTAAAGATGAAGAAAAAGAATCAACAAACTTCATATCATTTACTAAAAGCTATTTTAAAAATTTCCAATTCAAATTGTTGTAAATTAGTATAGAATAATTTTCACGTTGTTACTATTTTGCGATTTCCTATCACTTTATATTGATTTATCTAAATCCAATATTATGTCCTTATATCAAGTACTTCACATATAGTTTTCTCTGTTTCTGTTTTACTGGTCCTCAATTGCTTTGCAATTAAAAACTATTTTAATGAGAGGGTAAAAGTTTAACTATAAACTTTTTTTTGATAAATGTTTTCCAATTGTCTGGGCATCAAACACCGTGAAGTAACGATTTTCTTTCTTAAATTTTTTTAGTAGTTGACTTCATAATTTTTCATTCCGAATAAATATACGGGGTAAAGGTTTAAATAAGCTCTAGATATAAGTAAGGAAAAGAAAGCTTATAATCTATTTTTGACTAAAAAATATTACAAGAAATATAGACAAAGTCGACGTGAAATAGAGTTTCTCCGTTTAGGAGAAAAACAAACTATTTTATAAATTTCTTATAAGATCTACTTATAAAGGATACTCTTATAAGATCCATATACGGTAAAGGTGCGCATGTTAATTTTTTTTTGCCATTTCTGTCTGGACCCGCACTTAAAGCAGTTTATTTAGAAAATTTAAAAATTATTTTATTATACCAAATAATGTTATAGTTAGTAAGAAATGATTTGTGAGGAATAAATTAGTATAGAAATTGTCGCTTTGGTAAAGACCTGTATTTAACTGGTCAGGAAAACTAGGATATATATGTAAAGAAAAAGTATAGAAAAGGTTGATGTGGAATAGACTTAAAAAGACCTGTGTTTTTATGGGTCCGGTCAGGTGAAACTTTTTATACAGGGTGACAACCATAAGGTGAAACACATTTTCGAACCCCAATTATTTATTAACCCCGTACCATATGACTTTTCCCTTGTTTACAGTTTGTTTTGACATTTGTTTAGAAAAAGTTTTAAAAATTTGAGGAAGAAAAAATGAGGGATTGTATGAAAAATACAGATCTAAATCCTATCAGGGAGCTGATAATTTCATTACACAAAAAAAATTTAAGTCAAGCTGATATTTGGAGATGCCTGAATGATATAAAAGTCAGCAAATCATTGATTAGTCGAACAATTTCTCGTTACAAAACTACTGGGCAAACAATTTCAGCTAAAACTAGAAAAAGAAAGCGCGTCAAGCGCACTCCAGCAATCATCAAAGTGGTAAGAGAACGTTTACGAAGAAATCCTGCTCGCTCAGGTTGGCAGCTAGCAAAAGAGCTGAACATGTCATATACCTCTATGCAAAAGGTTATAAAACAAGATTTAAGACTTAAGTGCTACCGTAAACAAAAAATTGCCGGCCTCACAGACAAAAACAAGGTGGAAAGAGTCAAGCGTTGCAAATCGCTATTGAAGCGGCACGGTGGTGCAGATATTGTTTTTTCGGACAAGAAAATGTTTACTTTGGAGCGCCCGTTGAACAGACAAAAGGACAGAGTTTATGCTGTCAGAGTTTATGCTCTCTGATGTTCCTTTAAACGTTAGAACTGTCCCTCGTTATCAGAACGCTTCGGCGGTCATGGTATTCAGGGCCATCTCGAAAAAGGGGAAATTTCCTCTGAAATTTATCAATAGAGGGGTGAAAATCAACAAAGAATACTACTTACAGAATGTGATCAAAGATTTGATTGAACCTAAGGCTAAAGAAATGTATGGTGATGATCCATGGGTGTTCCAGCAAGATTCTGCCCCTGCACACAAGGCTATTGTTGTTCAAGATTACTGCAAGCAAAATTTCCCAGATTTTATCGATACCAAAGAATGGCCTGCTTCGAGTCCTGACCTCAATCCCCTTGATTTCTTTGTCTGGGGATACATGCTACAAGAACTGGGAAAGCATAAATTAACAACTTTGGACCAATTCAAGGAACTTTTGATCGACATTTGGGACAAAATGCCACAAGAAACCGTGCGTGCCGCGTGCAAAAACTTTTTCAAGAGATGTCGAGCCTGCATAAAAGCAGAGGGCGATAGGTTGGAATTAAACCAATAAAACTTGTTAAATACACTTGTAGCTTTCTATTGATACCACTTTCGAATAAATATAACTCTTAAATTTAAAAATATAGCTTACTTTATGTGTTTCACCTTATGGTTGTCACCCTGTACCAATGGTCACGTTTCAAGCAGGTATTAAGACAGGCACTAATGACCAATCGGCAATTTAGGCAACGGTTACTGTAACATTTAAAATTTATCAGAGTTAATTATAATAGAAATTTTTCATAGCTTTAAGATGGAAACAATAAGTAAAGTTTTTCTATATGTATATAGCTATTTTTCTACAGCTCACTACAAAATATTAGAAAAAAGGAAAAAGGGCCATGTGGAATAAATTTACCAAGACTCATATTTTATGGGTGATAACAGCTAGTTGAAACAATAAAAGTAAATTTTTGAATAGTCTAGCCAAAAGTTGGATTTTGAATAGAACATATTTTTGAACAATAGTTATTTATAAACTAAAATTATTATATCTAGCTCATTATAAACCATATTTAAAACATAAGAAAATGAAAGTGAAAGAGTAATTATATTTAATTTATTAAAAAATATACGCTTACAAAAAACAACAATTTGTGTGGAAAAAAAAAAGCAGAAATAATAAGAATTATGGAATTTTTACAACTCTTAATGTTTAAACTTAATGTTTTCTAATAAACATAAACAAAAAAGCATTAAATACAAGGAGGGTCCAAAAGTTTGTGGAATGAAAGGGTTTTAAATAAAATGAAGCAACAAATCTATTTTTCTTTTTCAAAATAATCTCCCTTAAGCTGAATAGACTTATTAGCCCTAAGAATTAATTTTAAACTCTTTTAATTTTTCTAATATCATTTCGTAGTATTCTCTGGTTATGCTCCTTCTTTTTTCTTTGTAGTCAATGAGTCTCTTCAAAATCCCAAAAAACTGTAGTCATTAACTTTCCAGCTGACTCCGACACTCTGAATTTCTTTGGCAGTGGTATTCCCTTTTTATGCCATTACACAGACTCTTGTTTGGACTCAAAGTGATGAACCCATATTTCATCTCCAGTAACAATCTGCTCCAAAATCTGTGCAGGTTCATCTCTACACAACTCTGAAAATTGTTTTGCCACATCAACGCACTGCTGTTTCAAGAGGCATGAGCATTCTTAGTACACATCTTGCACTGACTTTTGTCATACCCAGGTGGTCATGTAGGATTTGTAAAGTGGTGGTATCTGATACTCCAACTAATGCAGATAACTGTTTTTTCTTCAAACGGGTGTCCTCCAGTTCAATTTTTTCCACTTTTTTAACAATGTTTAATGTGATGAACTAAACTGACCTTCTTGAGCAGTGGTCATCTTCAATTGACTCCTGACCACATTTAAAAAGACCATGCATTTGTAATTTATTGATTTACTAGAGCACTGTTCCCCATAAACAGTTTTCATTTCATTCAAAATGGTCTGAGCATTCTTTCCTTGCTCAGTAAGAAATTCTATCACAGTACGTTGTTAAATTTTCTCTATAGTTTCAGTTTTCTTTCGGATTGACTTGTTTAGCAGGTGAGTGTTTGTAAACAAATGATGTATCAGAGCTAAAACAAAAATTTCTATACTAATGATAAGTCACTAATTAGTATGACACATAGTGACCACCCCTATCCTCATCCTCACCCTCCATTCCACAAACTTATGGACCTTCCCCCCCCTTATATACATATATATATATATATATATATATATATATATATATATATATATATATATATATATATATATATATATATATATATACATTTTATCTATATATACATATACATATATATATATATATATATATATATATATATATATATATATATATATATATATATATATATATATATATATATATATATAAACACATACATATTTAAAGAAAAAAGTATGCAGTTATAGCCAAAATGATCTAACCACTATTGTGTGTTATGTGGGTAATATTGTAGATTTCAGTAGAAAAATATTTTATATGCTCTATTTACATTAAAAGCATGTGTAATATGTAAAATTTCAAGCTTATAAAGTCTTACTGCATCCTGTTGCAATTATTAGTGCTCGCACAGTTCAATTACTGTGCCAAAGATTTTATTTGTTAATCAATTTGTTGATCATTAAAGCCTATCTAAATAATTATTAGTGATAAAAAAGTTTGCAAAGAACACAACTTGTAATGTTCTCAGACAAACTGAAGGTAAATTTTCACTAGCCACCTAACTCATAATAAATTGATTTTTTAGAACATGATGGCAGTCAAAAATAAAATCACAGTTTATAGTATTTTTAATACCATTATCATAAAGATATTGGTTTCCATGACATTTTTTTGGCAATTTGTAAATAATATTTTAAAATATTAAAACTTCATAATTATTCATAATTGAAATTCAGCATCTTTGAACATATTTCTTGTTTTAAATTTTAATGTGAATTTAATTTTTCTTCACATTTTAGAAATTTTATAATCAAATAAATTAATATTAATTTTTTATTACCTTGAATAATATGTTGCAACAACATTTTTGTAAATTACACAAATAAACTACATGCAAATATGCATATTATTTTACTATTTGAAACTAGTATGTACACAACAACAAAGTACAAAAAAATAATAATAATAATAAAATACACACACACACACACACACAAAAAACAAAAACAAAAAATGAATTAGCCAAGAACAGGACCCAAAAAAAAATTTAAATATTTTCTTGAAGCAGAAAAACAAAAACAAATACTTACTTAAAAACTGATTGAAAGCATCAATTACAAACTTATAATTATGGGTAACTTTATTAACGATTGCGGCTAAACAACTTGTACAGGATTGCACTACATTTTGTGTTTGTTGCAACATAAGTTTCATAGAATCTTCTTCAAGTTCAGCCAAAAATTTAGGGTTTGGATGATCCATTAGTGGTACAACCAACTCCAAGATTTTACTAACATTTTGTATGACAACAAGATCTGAAGGAGAATTAACTTTTGAGCTTAAATATGGCTGAAGGCTTGTAGCATGTGGGATTAGAAGAAGGGGGCATACTTTGCAAAAAAGGTTTAGAGTCATCAAACATGATACAATCATATTTGTGTCTGATTTTTGCTCAGGATTTAAAAGTCTTTGGAAGAGACAATCAACAAGTTGCTGACATGCAGTCATTGTTGAAGCTCGCAAACTTGCATTTTTTGGATCAAGCAGCTAAAAATATAAAATTATAAAAGTATGGATACCAAGAAAACCAAAATAAAAACACAAAATATTAATAAAATATTTTTTGATATATTATGTAACTCTGAATTTAAAAAAACTGTTAAATTTTACACATATCTCTAAAATAAAAATTGCTTTTTGACAAAAAATTTTCTTTGAAAAATATGTTCATAATATTACAAGTATACTTTAATCTGTGCTACCTAATTTCTTTAAAATAATCAGACTTATAAAGCCTCATAATCATGGCAATTATCAAATGTGCTCTACGTGCTAAAGTGAATAGTATTGTAATAAGTAAACTAATACAACCTTGTCTAGGTAAAACTGTATTTAATAAGAATTAATCATATCATGATGTATCATTTATCATCAGAAGGATAATAACTGATACATCATCAAGATTGCATACAAATAACTCAAAATAATTATATTTATTAATTTTAACAAAATTACAACATATAACAATATTGTTATTAATTGTAGTGGTGTATAGAAATGTATTCACTAAAAAGATGATAGAGCTATGCACTTAACCATTAGTAACACCAACAAAATGATGGAACTATGCACTTAACTTAATGGTGTTACCATTGGTAACACCAACATATTGATGGAGTTATGCACCTAAATATTGGTAACACCAACAAAATGATGGAGCTATGCACCTAACCATTTAGTATTATTATTATAATTTTCTTTAAATTTATTTCTGTTACATGTTAACAAATAGAAATTTAGTAAAAAACAAATTTTATTGGCGACAGCAAGTTGCTACGTTGCAGGAAAAAAAAGAGATAAAGTTGAAAAATTTACTCACATTTTCTAGCAATATTTCCAACCATTCAAAACCAGTATCCTTGCATAACGAAGCAACTTTGGTAATATTAACAGCCTTTGTGAAAAGAATTGCAGATGACTTGTTGATGTCAGAAACAGGTTGAAACCACATCAAGCGAAATACTTCAGTTACAAGTTTCTAAATGTAAAACTTTAATAAAGAAAATAACACTTTTTTATTTTAACAATAATAAAAACAAA